GGGATCACCTTACTGCAGCGGGGAGTCTTGAGGCATGGTTTGAGATGGTGTCCCAAGGGTGAACGCACAGAATAATAACGTGCTTTCCCACCTTTGCTTGCAGCCTTGTTTCTTGTGTCTCTCTGGGCACTGAGTTCTTCTCCCTTCCGTGAGAAGCCTGTGGGAGTATTTTTGCTTTTTGACTCTGGCGTCTGGGGTCTCTCTTGGTTACCCATCGCCTTCGTGCTGTAACTCCTTTCTCAACAACAGTATTTGCTTTTCTTGCTCCTGCCTCTTTTCCTCCAACTTGTTTACATTTTCACCACTGCTGGGCCCAGATTTGTGCTGCAGAAAGGCTGCCTCTGGTACCAGCCATGGTCGTTCATCCATGATGGGGTAGGGACATTGCACTTGTCTGGAAGGGTGTTTATGTGCTACAGGACCAGAAAATCCTCCTCGCTTCTGCTGCTGCCCCTGTGGCTGTCAGCAGGATTCCCATCAGTCAAGCCTGGAGATGCCAGCCTTTCCACACCACCGCTGGTGTCCCAGCGGGGCTGGCAGCACTCTGTGTCACATCCAGGTTTGCCTGGCGGTGCCCGGCCACATCTGTCCTGTGCTGTCACCTCTCTTGTCGTTCCTGGGGTGTCCCAGGTTTTGTGTGGCTCCATTCCTGCGGTGCCTGCAGGGAGATGCTTCTCCTGAGGGTCACACCCTCGGGCTGAGGACGTGCATCGAGGACCTCCCCTGATGTGTGTTAGCTGTCTGTACCAGCCCTGGGGTGCTGTAGTTTGGGGTGGCTGTTGCCCTAATTCTCAGCGCCCTTGGGCTGTGACTCTAGACCCGTTATTGCCTTGTTTGGGCCATTTCTCCAATTTCTGCAGTGGGGGGCTCACCGCAGCGGACAGCTACGATCTTGCTTCAGAGTCCTGAGTCCTTCAGAATTTTTTGGACAGTTTTTGCCCAGGAAAAAAAAATATCTCTGCATTCGCCAGCATTGGCAGGACCCTGCCCGCTCACCCTAAAGGAGGGAAGGAGCTGTCAAGGACCCAGGCACCTGCCTTGGTTTAGGAGGCAACTCCTCTCTCTCCTTCCCTCACTAGCAGCAGTCAAGACTGGGCATGAACGTGAGCTGGAGGGAGCTGTTGGAGCCGGAGCAGTGTCGGGTTCTCCCTTTGCTGTGGTCAGTGGCAGCTCTTACTCTGCGAGCTCCCTATTTTTAACGTCGCCCTGGGGCAGGCCTGGCTCTGGTAGCTGCTGCCCCGTCGTTTGTGGATCTGTGACTCTCTCTCGGGAGGCTTTATGACCAGGGAGACGGAGTAGATGTTGGATTTGACTGTCCAGACGTGCCCCATGTGACCAATGAAAGCGATACTGTGCACGAGCCCCGGGTGGAGCGCGCTCTGCGGTAAGCGCTCAAATATGTGACGGTGTTTATAGAGAGCTGGTGGGGTGGGTGCAGCTGCAGAGCAAACAACCTTCGGTTCCCTGACGCTGGGACTCGGGGATGGGCAATCTCAGCTCGCCAGGGGGATGGCCATGGGTGGAGGAGGTGCAGGGTGCCTGCGGGGCTGGTTGCTAGTGCTTCACAGTCTCCTTTTGCATTTCTGTGGCCCTACGTGGGATTTCATCATGTCCTTTCTCTTCTTTCTCTGCCTTAAAACAAATAACAAAAGGCCTTCGAGTTTCCCTGCTGCTGTAGCTTCATTATCTTCTCAATCTTGCTGCGTCTGCTTCTGAGACAGCTTCCTCGGTAACCCCCGCCAAGCCACAACCTCAAATTCAGATCCTGGCACAAGTCATTTTCTCATTACCTGCTCGCAGGCTGTCTCCTCTGTACCCATTTCAGGGCGGTTTCAGTCATGACTGACTGGCTGAACTTGGAAAACATTCCCACGAATACCTGTGTGTACGACTAGGGCTTGCTTCTGCCCAGGGTTGTAGCGACGGTGAGTGCTAAGTGCTAGGAGAAAAAAAAACCAAAACAAACCCCTCTGTATTTTAGCTTTGCCTATTCTTGTTTTATCTTTGCATGAACAATATTTAATGCAGAACCACATATGTTCCGCAGTTATTTTCTAGCTGTGTGAAACTGGATAAACTTGCTAAGTTTTATGCTTCTTGCTGCTTTGAGACTGATTTTTTTGAAAGGCAGCTCAAGTCCTCCAGCATCCTCTATGGGTTAACTTGGGTTTTGCCTTTTTTTTAAAAAAGCCTGGTCAGATATTATCCTTCTCCTTTTAAAATAAACAAGTAGATAACAATTAGATGTGCTTCTTTTTAATAAGGGCCTGGTTCTTGGCTTGTGTTTTACAAGTGCTGATCTTGGTTAAGGAAATAAACAGCTGTGATAGGAATTCCTATAACATGAAGACCATTAAAGTTTGTCTTACGTTAATAAGCATAGTGGCCAAAATTACTTTGAAGAGCTAATTAATTAAGATTGAAACCTCTTTATACTTTTTTCAGATTTCTGATACTTGACAGTCCAAAACTATTGTTAATGTTCTGCAGTGCTGTGATTCTGGCTTTTTAGGAGAGAATGTACATAAAGTTTTAGAAAGTAATATAGAACTGATGGGCGTGTAATTGCATTTTGATCTAAGGTGATGCCCAAGAGGCTGTTTAATGGGTGAAAAATGTCAAAAGATAGACATAGCAATGCCTGTGTAGTGACTAGATGAAGTTTTGGACCTCAAAAACATCTAGACAAAGCCCTCAGTTTTTGTCTCGGTTATTTAATTATTTGCAGTTTTTCAAATTTAAAGTATCAACTAGGAAGAGCTGGAATTTTCTGGCAAGAACGGCAGCTTCCCATATGGTTTGATCGAGGCAGAAAAATTCAGCTAACACATGCAGAGCACAAATGAACTAATATTGTGTATCTCGTTCTTGTGGCGCACCGATTCATCAGAAGCCATCGTCTGCTTTCACTGCGGAGAGAATGAAACGGCAGGAATGCGCACGGCAAGTATTGTAACAGCCCGAGAGCACGATATGAATCTAAGAGGGAGCCTTGGAAACAAGGGCCAAGCGTTAATGGAAATACTTGATCGCCACAGCTTGCTGAGCAGAGAGCAGATTGCTGGCGAGGCCCGGGACTGAAAGGGTGATGAGGACACGGGCGCCACGCTTGCTGTGTCTGTGAAAGCCTGCCCTGGGTTTCCTCCCGTAGCCTGGCTTTGTGCTGAGCTCCAGCAGGCTGCCAGCCATGTCCTCCTGCTGGGCCGAAGGTCCTCTGCTCTGACAGCAGCTCCAGGAGCTGGCCTGGGGACATCACGCTCTCTACGGCTGCGGAGTCCTGTGGACAGCAGTGGCATGGTGCTGATCCCACCAGTCTGCCAGAAAAAGGTCAGGAGATGCTATTTGGAGAGCATGAGAACCTGCTTTTGGGAGTGAGCTGAAGAAGTGGCAGCCTGTGAGAAATCTCCTGGGATAAAGCTCTCGGTGGCCTGCTTGTTGCTCGTTGGCTGGCTGCATTTGCTGTCGGGTTTCCGTCAGAGAGGGCACGCTATGACTGTCGAAACCGCTGCTGGAGCCACGCAGGTGGGCCTCGCCAGCCGGTCTGGATGGAGGCTTGGGGTTTAGGGCCCCTGGGGGAGCCCTGCTCGTGGGTCCTTCTTGGAATTATCACATAGACAACGTTCACTGCTGTTTAGATACTGGGCTAAACTGGTTCACTGCAGCCAGAAAGGAGCGTGGTTGTAGCTGTGAGCTTAAACTGGTAAAAAGTATCCTGATTCACCCCACTGATTTCCAGCAACTGTTTCGCTGGGTGGGGAGCTGCCTGCCGCACAGCGCCCGAGGCGGAGGGCAGTGTCTGTGGCACCAGCGCGTGGCTGTGCAGCAAAACCCGTGCACTCTGCCGAGGAACTGCTGCTGGGGCAGGATACGCCAAGATCCCCCGTGTGACTGCATCTCCTTTCCTTATCAACCCAAACCAGGCAGAGTTGTAAAGCGTTGTGCTGCTGCAGGTGTGACTGCGCTGGGTGGTTCTGATGGCACGCCTGTGTTTGTTAACAGACCGCGCTTCTTCCGCGGCACGACTTCATTTTCAAGAGCAGAGAATTTTGTTCAGAGCAGACAGATGGCCTTGGATCAGCTCCTGCCACAAATGACTACTTGAGTCTTAGGTACAAGGCGTGATTCAAACCTGACAGCTGGAGGCGCCAAGAAAAAAAATGATAGCCGCCAGTGTTGCAGTCTGTTGCCCAGCTTATTCCCAAAATCAGGCTCTTGCTACTGAAAGCTGACAGCGGGGTTCAGAGATGACAAATGATCAGAAAATAACACAGTCTATGCGAGCCTTTGGTCTGAACTCTGTCCAAGCTGTCTCTGCGCACGAGTCGGCATCGGCCCTCTGCAAGTGCTGCTCTTCGGTCCCTGAAGACATCGGTCACACGCACGATTTATGATTAATCCTCACTGTTAAAGCGTGAATCTTCAGCAAAGGATAATTACTTTAATTAGTTCTCGGTGTGTTGTACTATCTGAGGAGAGACGCTTGCTTACCCTCCTGCCCTGGAGAGCTGATCTCTAAAGGACCCATCTAAAGCAGGTGAGAAGATAGTTGTGTCCCCACGGCACAGTGCAACGCTAAAAGCAGGATGACAGAACCAAGTACAGGCCAGGAAAGGTTAAAATCTGCTGCGAAGCTTGGGCTGAGTCTGCACCAAGGGCTGTATTATGCTCAGCTCAGTTTAATGGTTCTAAGTTTCTTGGTTTTGTTTAAGTATTTCAAAACTAGCTATTTGCTTTTTGCATTTTGTTACAAAGAATACAACAGCTCATTTCTGACTTTTGCCTAAAAGCTCCCATTGCCCAGGAGAGTCTTCAAAGAAACAAACAGCCCACCCTTCCTTGCACTCCCTTATTTCTGTTTGTTGCATCTCCATTTGATTGACCTTCTCTCTGTACACACCTGGTTCCGTACGCACGCTTGAGAAATAAACCGAGTTGTATAAATTCTGTACTTTATTTATCAAATTCCCTAACAAAATGCGATTCTGGCTTCCTCTTGCTGATCACACTGGTCTTCCTTGAAATGAAAGAGCTATTTCTAGCAGCTCTTTACCCAGTTCCTCCTGCCTTCCTCCAGCGCTGAACTCCGCAGACAGCTCCCTGAACGTGACACAGATTCGGCGACGCTCTATGTGCTTGCGGTGAATCGCGTGTTTCCACTTGTACCGTGCGTCACCGTACAGCACCACCAGCGACCTTCGGGGTAAGTGAATGGCAACAGTCACCTCTTTGCTTGGCACAAGCCTTGGGTATAAAATGGAGTTGATTCCCTCTTTGCCTAGATTTTTGCATGCTGACGTCTGTGTGAGAGATCCAGGGGGACTTAATTCCCCATTTTCTTTACTGAAAGTGGGAAATAATTGGAGGCTGTCCTCTGAATCACAAGACATGGATAGCACGGTTTTTGAGAGCAAATTTAGGCTAACCAAGCGTTCTCCCCAAAGCCACCAGTCATCAAAATGTGGGTCGATGGCAGACCCCCTTTCTGGCATGTAGTCCAGATTACATTGTTCGACGGGTAAGAAACCGCTCAGTACAGAGCAGCCCTTCATTTGTGCCACAATCTTTTTACTGAAACTTGGCAAACCAGTAAAGCTGCCAGCTTTCAGCCTTTGTTTCTTGAAGTTCACTTTGGGTCCGTAGTCCTGTTGGAAAAAAAGAGGGGGAAAAGCTAGTGTTCAGGAAAAATCTTTTTGGAGAGGCCATGATCCCTACAGGGCTCACAGTCAAGACTTTCAAGTTCTCATCTCTTCTAGTGACCTGCTCACCAGGTTGCAAAAGGACTCAGTGAAGCTACGTTAATTTCTCTGGAATTAGACTTCTCACCTGTAAAGTACAACCAAAACGCCCACTTCTTTCACTTGGAGATTGTGTGAACTTCAACGCCTGAACACACTCCAAGTACAATTTGTTGCGACCACCGTCTATTTTTGCAAGAAGTTGAGTTTAATTACAAGTAATTCTTGCAGTTGATTTCAGGAAAAGCTTCCAAAGGAAAACATTTAATTAAACATGTAAACGTTCTGTGTTTTAACTGAAAACAGCTTTCCTTTTCCAGAGGGATCTAAGGACAAATGTGCTTCTAAAGTCAAACCTGTTTCTTTCGGCCAGACTGTGATGGTTTCCAGTCGTCTCGATCCATCAGTTCAACTATCTCAGATTCTTTATCTTCGCTAATGAACTCCTCCATCAGAAACACCCCTGGAAATGGAAATGCCCAGCCAGCAAATTCCGAGTGCTCATTTCCTTTAGCCAGGCCTGTTGCTGGACAGTAAGTGAAATTATCTTCTCCCTGTGGAAATAACAATGGAGAATAAAAAAGCAGTGGGGAGAAACCTATCACAATAAGGCATTTCCATGATTTACCCCTGCAACCTTGATGTTGCAGCATGAAAACCGCCTGTACAGGGTTCTTGTAGACATGAGAAATTTTACAACTGCTTTTGGGGAACAACTCAACTCTGCTTTTTTTACAGCTTCAGCATTACTGTGCTGCTTGCTTGAAGCCGCTTTTCTTTCCTAGTAATGTCTTTATCCTGCAAAGACTGGGAAGAACAGATGATCCTCAGTGCCAAATGTATAAGGAGATTAATGGTCGGTATTCCTCAGGGCGGATGTAGAGGTATCGTTTGTCATATCAATAAATGTTGAATGAGAAAAGTTGGTAAAAATTGCTGAGGCCAAAAGGCTAAGCTGTAGCGAACCTGTCTTGTCTTAACGTATGAAACCCAGATAAGCTCTGCCTTGGCTTTTGAGGCGGCTGTGTGCATCTGTAACGCTATTCAGGCAAAGCCACAAGGGTTCTCCTCACAAATACCCCAGGGGAGGCCAGCGGGCCCGCTCTGGGGGCTCTGCTTT